TCTAGTTTCTTAGGTTTTATAGAAGCTTGTTTAATATTGAAATAATCTTAAAGCGTCTGTATCTAATGAATACAGTTTATATCAAATTCAGCTTTTTAATTTATTGCTCCCCCTTAAAGTTTTCTACCCCTGGAAAACCTGGCTGTGCCACTGTAAATATGTCATATCATGACTTCGTATAACATGTCGTCAAGAAAACCGTTGATCTGATCTTATTTTACGTTATCTTTGTTCCTTTATTCTCGAAGTGGATGGGCAGAGCAGAGATAGTCCATTGTGTAGCATTGCGCTTTACAACAAACAGTACTCGAAATAGGTAATATGAGGTTTCACTGTGTACTGTAAGCACACACTGTACTATTGATCAATGAATGTAAGGGTGGGCATGAAACTTATGAACAAAAAGCAACTGTATGTACAATAAATGTATCGGTTTGGTTTGTGTTTTACATGTCATTAATTATACAAGTTGCGTTATCAAAGTGACATGTTATGTCAATGTATAGTTTTCCTGCATAAACAAACGAACAACTTCTAGATAACTGTTTTATTTTATACGATCATCTTTACTGTAACGATTGTTCTCAGAAAAGTTATTATAAACCAGTACCCATTGCGAATGAATGTCATTCTCAGAAAAATTTTCTTAAACCGATAGGTACCCACTGCAAGTTTTGTGGTCAGTGATTACCACCTTGTTTCCTGTTCTGATCTAATCGTACTAGACTCATTTGAAGTCATGTACAGATCACAAATACATATTTGTCATAAGAAATAGCATTTTGGATTCGAAATGCGAATATATGGATTATTGATTGAATTTTTCGTTTCGAAGATCTGTCTTCATGAAAAAAACAGTTCGGATTGTCTAGTCCAAAATAACGATGGTTCACTGTACACTGCAAGTACCGTACTTGTTCGTTTTGTTTTACACGTGTGTCCAATTTCATTATACTGTTTAACAACAACTCAGTTTAGTAAGAGTTTTATTAGTAGTCTGTAATTGAATCTCTAGTTATTTATCCGATAGCTCAAGCTTTTATTCTGTTTTACCTGCTTACACCACAACACTTGTGTTTCAGCTGAACATTAATAATCTTGGATCTTTCACACCTCCGGAAATAGAACGTGGGCATACAGACAATACTCGGAGACAAAACACTATGATGATACGAAATACAGAGGAAGACCACTAAATAGACATGAAAAAAATGGAGGTGGAGGGGGGGGGGGGTTGCACTGCAATTTTCAATCCTAACGACATCTTATTTGCACATGTGCTAAACGTCGAGGTGAAAGATCCTTTCCTTAAGCTCGTAGCACACCACCCCAAGGGTTTTCTCCGAAGTCCTGAACTGAGTAAAGGGCGTGTTCAGTGGCACTAAGTTTCGAACCCTGAACTTTCGGTTCATAACTCCACACACTAAACACAAGGCAAACACCCCTCCCAATGAATTGATTATCCACTTTTTTGATTTTTTAAAACATAGAATTAGTTTACTATTTAACGTTATTTAGTATGAGAGACGTCAAGGTAGATGAAAAATGAGCAGGTGAATTTTTTGTTTTGGAGCAGGTGAAGCACCATGAGCCTTGACGCGCGACTGAAGTTGGACCCTCCGAAGTAAGGGGAGTGTCCGAAGGTTTCCTGAGGAAACCTTTTGATTTTTAAATGCTTTCCCCTTCTACCTGATGGGACGTAAATTTTGGTTGAGTTTTGGAATAATTAAACTACATGGTCGCCTCAGAAGTTCCCTAAAAATTTTAAGAAAATATATATACCTTTCGTAAAATAATGAATTTCATCTGTTGTCCTAGATTAATTACAAAAACTACATGTTTGCATTATTTACTGTAACAAAAAAAGCAATTGTAATATTATTATTTTTTCTTTATATAATACAAAGCAACTACGTTAAATTTATTTAAAAAAACAAAAAATTGCCAATGCTCATGAGACGAAAGTACCTTTTGCAAGATTATCCGGATATTTGTCAGTTCAAACCGGATGGAGATTGAACCCAACCATATGCATCAAAACACCATCTTCACGATTTCCGCCAATACCCCATTATCATGTAAATCGAGAAAGATTATTGTTCTGGCTGAAAGTTTTTGTTGTTGTTGCTCTTATTATTAAAGTATGCACAGTGTACTAGGTATATTTCGATCGGGCGAGCATATTACTGGCCGAGGCTTACAACAGGTATGTAAGTCAAGGATATTCGGTACGGCACACGTAAATCCGTTTTACATGTAAAGTAACAATGTAGACGGAGTGTATTTTGAATATGAAAAGCAGCACGATTTTTAGATAGTCAAACTGCGTGCGTTTTAGTAGTGCACCTACTCCAGAGAATGGGGAAAGTCAGTGCGAATAATAGTATAATTGTTTCACGATTTAAAACTGACATTTTAATGAATAACTGCCAAGTAGTAGCGCAATGTCGTAATATATATATATATACAGATTTGGACTTTTGTTCGGTTAAATATACAGCAAATGTTCAAAAGTTTGTCGAAACCAGATGAATCACTTGCCTTAAAAATCGTGCACACAACTCACGAATTTTGCACTTATAGATTATTATATCGATCTTGTATTTAGCAAAATATTTATTAAGAGTACTTTATTTCTTCATTTTAGCAAAACTTAAGAAATTGGTTTGGTATAAATAGTAATAAATTTTCTGAAAACGGATAGTATTATTTTACTGCCACTTTCGACTTTAAGTAAATTCTGCTCTATTTTATTATTTGTATAAATGTATCGAGTTTTTAACGTAGGGTCTAATCCTTTACTTCAAACTCACACATATCTGAAATAAGCGTGTTACTTATAATTTAGTCCAAGTTGACGTTTGTTTTGTTTTGTTTTTTGAATTTCGCGCAAAGCTACACGAGGGCTATCTGAGCTAGCCATCCCTAATTTAGCAGTGTAAGAATAGAGGGAAGGCAGCTAGTCATCACCACCCACCGCCAACTCTTGGGCTACTCTTTTACCAACGAATAGTGGGATTGACTGTTACAATATAACGTCCCCATGGCTGAAAGGGCTAGCATGTTTGGTGGGACGGTGATTTGAACCCGCAACCCTCAGATTGCGAGTCGAGCGCCCTAACCATCTGGCCATGCCGGGCCCCAAGGTGACGTATTGGCTCTTCAGCACGCAATTTATTTCGTAAGCTCACGTGTAAATAATTCATTCCCGGTATGGATAAATTCAGAAACAATGATCAGTGTATTGAAGTGCACATGTACGTTGTTTATTTATTTTTTAATATTTCACTTAATCCGAAATGCTATGAAAAGCAAGCATTAAAAAAATTGATCTGCTGTTTCTTGCGTCATTTTCTTCCACAGTTAAATGATAAATCCTGATAATGTTTATGTTGTGCCTAACTTGTAATGTGATTTCCCTTTCCAATGGTTACTAATCAACTATATAGCTTACCATTGCAAAGAGTGTTCTCTCTAGGCTCGTTTCCAGGTATTGGGATTTAGGTCTTGTAGATCTGGGAGGGTCAGGTTCAAATTGACCTCTTCCTCCCTCCTGTATTATTGAAATGTGTATTCTTTCTATTCATTTAATGTCACCTAGACTGCGTGGCCACACACACAATCAATCAACTGCCACGCACTTAATTATTCCAGCCGTGCACATCCTCAGTAATAGTGAGGAGTCTCAACACGTTGATGGCGTTAATGACCCTGGCAGTTGATAGGCCTAAAGCCCCAATAACCAACTGGTAGCATTGTAAAGTGACCTAATGATCCAATACCCCCCTCTCTCCAAAACCTCCCAAAAAACTAGTAGTGCACATCTGCACATTGCTTTTGCCTTGATACTGGTGTACATGGAAAAGTTCATTCCACACATGGAGTGAAAAAATTAGAAGGAACATTAATTACAACACCTTAATTCTTTATAGATGATATTTTTTTTTATATGGAAACATTAATATTCTAAGAGGTTAATAAACTTTCATTTTGAAGCATATACTACACAATGTGACATATAGATTAAAATTACACCAGAATGTTCTAACTGTCTGATATCTTTCATTTTTCAAAATGCAACATTTGTAATACACCTTGGTAAAATTCTGCTTACTGATTGAAGCTTAGTGTTTAATATAAAATTTAGGAAGTCTTTAAAAACATTGTCTGAAATAATAATTTACTATACTCATGCTTTCTGAATGTTTAAACTTCATATATGTATGTGTAACAACCCAAATATTGAGGACTGAGTTGCCTCTGGTACACATAGGGTAGAAAGTCATGAGAAGCAAACAGCTCTTCTTCTTTTCCTTTTCAGTTGGTCTTATAACTACTTTGAAAATCTAAAATTAAGCAGTGAATTTTTTTGTATTAATACTTGATAGCATATCACAATCTTTTTTTTTTATGTCAAGTTCTCTAAGTCCCCCTGTCCTTATTTGTGGTACTGTTATCAAGAGGATCTAAAATGTGCCTAAAAGGTCATCCATGCATGCATGATGGGGGCCTGGAAGTAGGTTTTTCAACATCATTGAATCCAAACCTGACATCAGATTTTATGTTCTTGGCCCCCCTCTCAATATTGAGGGAGCCATGTTTATAAGTTTGTTCATAGCCCTACTCAAAATCTATTAGGACCAAACATGGCATACGTGCTCAGGTACCAAGGGTGAGTGTCCTTTGGGTTAGCTGTAAAGGTAATTGGAGCTAATGTTGGAGTTTATTTGGTACATTGGTGCCTCTACACATCATGAAGGGGCTTTTGAATCCTAAAGCAGAGTAAATTATTTTATGCCAGTGATTTATAAAATTTTTAGTGAGGATAGTAATTAAAATATATCATGATTGTGCACGACATTTGAATGACTTTTTATGTCTTAAAAGTTTTAATGACTTTAATATCTAAAAACTTCTGTGTTTTATTATAAATGTGTAAAGTAATGAAAATTAAAAAAGCAGCAAAATGTGTAATTAATAGAACATGTCTTATACTTCAGAAATTGATGATGATTTCAACTTTGTTATGGAAGAAGAGAATATGCTGGAAGAAATAAGTCGGGAATTTGAGGTAGGGATTTTTAATAAACATTGTCATCTGAACAATAGTTCTTTTAACTATTTATTTTTTCATAAATGTTTGTTCAGGGCTATGTATGTGAACTAGTAACAACCAGAACACAACACCCAGGTTTGCATAACTTATCTAATCATTATTATCTGTTCAGATTTTATAGTTTAAAATCACTGATACAGTGCCTTTAAAATATGGCTACACATCCCAAATTAGGCAGTTGTCAAATAATTTTACCCCTTCTCAGTTTTAGTAACACTCAAAAAGAACAAAGCAGACTTTTGATATTGAGAAACTGCTATTAATATGCATAATATTTTTAGTGATCTTTGATCATCAGATGTAACAACAGAAATATAGATATCTGAAATGATCAGCTTAGACGTATTAACGTGTATAAAAAATTATCCATTGTTTCATTCTTTCTGTACAACATTTATTAACAAATTTTGGGAATTTTGTAAAATATTAATTTTTAAAAATTATATTTTAGAAATTAAGTGTGTGAAATTTGTCAAAGTCGATGAATAAAAGTGATTATGTAGAACATAAGAAAATTACTTGAGGTTAAGAAAATACGTAACTTTAAGATTGCATAATTTGGCTCAATATGTATAACTCAATAAATATTTACTGTATGATTATTATTCTTCAGGAAAATAAAGGATCATTTGCTTTCCTGAACAAGAATAATCAACTATTTGAAAGAGTTTTTGGGTGTTTTATGTAAAATTCATTGCACCTTTTGTGTGTTAGCTCTTATATCAGTACTGTATGACTACACATTGTATAAGATTATTTGTATTTCCTAAAATGACACTAATTTATTGTGATTTATTTTCAGTTTCCAGTTGATGACTATATAAAAAATATGTTGACATTAAAACAGGGATCATTTGACCTTCTTAACAATGGAGAATTGACATCTGAATACTTGACTGACTTACCTGTAAAAGAAGAAACTCTTTCACCCAGTTCCACACCACCACTCTTGAAAAATGAAATAGAAGAAGTATGGAGTGATGATGTATGTTAGTTTAATATCAGTTTCTTTAGTTAGCTGAAACTTACTGCAAAGCAAAGACCACATAGTTTGAAATAACAAACAAATTTCTTGTTCTAATGTCATTTAAACATGATTATGTGTTAATAAATAAACTTAGTATTCCAAAAATTTGTAATTTTGAAGTCTAAGTTCAAGAGAGGTCCAGTTCAATATACACTTTGATCAACGTGTGTTATTGGGTTATACTAGTTTCAGAGAATTCCACTCCTCATCAGTAACCGTGAACACAAATTAACCAAAAAGAGATAAGCTGGACCTATATCATAGTGAAAAGTATCAAACATATTGTTGGTGTGAACATGCTTTGTAGTCACTATATAGTGGCAAATTACACTTTTTCTTCACCTATCCAGTATATAGGTTTCCCTCATAGTGACTACAAAGCTTGTTCACACCAACAGTATGTTTGATGGTTATTTATTGATGTAAAAAAAAAACACTTACTGGCTGAGGTACCATGTTGATATGTAAAGGTTTTATTAACCCACAAGATTTCCAACTCTTTGAATAGCTCTTTGTCAGGTGAAACTACAACACTATGTCCATGTTTCTTATTTTTATTTAAATGATTTCTCTATTCCTCTCCTGGTATTGTTAGATCCTTGAGTCTTAGCAACAATATGAGAATGATATCTTGGTTTTGTCACACACGTAATTTCTATTTTTTTAAATAATGTTTTAGTTAGTATTTGATTGTTTTTTTGTTATAGAAGAAAGCCACATTGGGCTATCTGCTGTGTTCACTATGGGGAATCAAACCCTGGATTTTCGTGTTGTAAGTTTTTAAACTTACTGCTGTTCCATCGAGAGACTACAGTTATTGAAAAATATTCATAGCTTTTTATGTTATCTATTATATTTTTATATCATGTGAAGATAAAATGTTGAGAAACAAAACATGAAATAACAAACTATGGACTGCAGTTTAAAGCCGTGGGATGCATCCCTCCAAGGAGGGTGCGGAAAGTCATTATGGGAGCATGACTATAGGAGCATAAAAATTACTTCTGAAAGTACAAATTTAAAAATAAAGAGGCTTTGAAAACTACAGTACAAATATTACAGGGGAAATGACATGTACAGTATAAATATAAATAGGTTATATGAGGATAGCACAACAAAACACATGTTTGGAAAAGGTGGGCATAAAAAAATGTTTATGTATCACTGATTTAGAGTCATACAACCAATAATATAAGCCATGGACTGCAGTTTAGAGGCTTTTCAGCACAGTTGTTTGATGATTAAAATTTCACTGAATCAATGTTTTGTATACTCATTCGTATATCAATAAGTTGAACATTGTATGTAGAAAGGAATCCATCACTGGTTTATATAACTTTCATATAACCATATCCATCATTTATAGTAATATGCGGAACCTCTAGATGTAAGATAGATAGAATTAAAATATATATATATATATACAATAATTTTTACATGGGCATAGACATGTTATAGTGTTATTTTTTCCTGTTTGTTTATTATATGTATAGTATTTGATATACATAGATTCCAAGTAGCTTCGTAGCTTAGAGAGTAATGATATTGTTCACACAGTTAAGTATAAGGAAGCATTCATGAAGCTGCATCACCCAAGTACCTCTATATCAATAAGTTCAGAGTTATTTCTTTCACACTATACATTTACTTATTTATTAGCATCATTTCCTGTGCACCAAAGAAATCTTATAGAATAACCTAATATGTAAAGTGTACAGCTTTTTTTTATTTCGCAGCTCCTGAAATTCCTGGTTTTTTTAACTTGCAGGGTTTTCCACCACAAATTAGTATACCAGGAAACCTACTGGAACCGAAAGTTGAAATATACACCCCTCCAGACTCACCTCCCAGTGGCAATCCAGACTCTCCATCAAATTCTTCAATACAGATTGTTTATCCAGGTCTGAACAGAAACAATCCAAACTGTACATTGTCAAATTCATCCATCACTACTTTTACTATGGCACCACTCATAACCACATCTACTGGATCTACAGCACAGATACACACTCAGCCTGTGCTCATCAAAAAAATTGATTCTAGCAGAATTTCAGCAACTTCTAAAACCCAAAGTGGTAATATTATATTAATTACAGACATAAATAAAGATACTCAGATGTAATTTATAATTATTATATATGTACTTAAAGCCAAAAGCAAAACTGTGAATTAATACACGTTTAACATGGATGGGCACAGCACTGGAAAAGTATGAAAAGCTAGACCTATACAAGTTACTAATTTTTATGTCCAAATCATCAAATTCTTGTACTTTATGTGTGCTGTCCTATAGATTTATGAATAAGTAAGGGTAATTCAATTGGTTTGGATGTACTAAGGTGTGGGTTACATATTTTATGTTATCTTTTAATTCTCTTGATTATGCAATTGAATTTTTTGTAGGGGCTGCTATCTTACCCTTCATTAGGCAATAACAGTAAGTGACAGATATGATTTAGATACAGTAGGAGATAGGTATCCATGTTTTGCAAATTTAGTAGAATATTGATTATGCATGGGACTTACTTTCTCATACCTTTTTCTATGTATTTAATATTTTGCTTTATTATGCAGGGAATTCTAGAATTACTGTCATTCTTTTTGTTTTTCTTTATTTTAGTTTTGTTCAACATCAACAAGTTTAATGATACATTAGAACAACTGACTTATCAATCATTTGACGTGAATGCTAATATTCTGTACCAATTTTTATTAAACTTTGCATTTACTGTTATATATCCTAGTATGGGATAATGCATGTTTTACCAATATTCATTAAAATTATGAATCTATTCCAACTGTATGAAACACACCATACTTTCTACCTGAACGTGTTGTTTTGATAAAATCAATACAAAAAAGGAAACTATTGTATAAACCTTAAAAATCTATTATTGGTAGTTAAATTAACAACACAGCTATTCCATACTAAAAGTAATTTGGTCAAAAAATAACAAATTCATATTTTTTATGGGTTAATGGTTTTGTGTGTCTAATTTATTATCAAGTGTCATATTTCTATAAGTTTAACCCATTGACAGCTGATTTGCTGTATAGGATATGGTCCACTTCCAGCAATTGAATGCAAGTTTGCTGTATGCAGTTTACGACTCGCAAACATTCCACGCACATTTAAAGCAGTCAAAGGGTTAAATTACATACTTTTTTGATGAAGCTTAAAAATAGTTATAACTCTTTTTTGTTATTATTTAGCTCAACCAGTTGTTTTAACTCCAGAAGAATTTGCAAAATTAACATCCCAAAGAATTGTGAATGTTAAACCAGCAGTTGCTATGACACAACCTATCAGTTCAGTTACAACTCCGCAGCTGATAAAAAAAGTGGGTTCACCAGGTGGTGGTGGCGTTGTGTCCATATCGAGGGCCCCAGTTGTGACATCTACCTCGGGTCTTAGCTCAAGTAATAATGTCGACCTCCTGAAGAATCCATTATTCAAGAATCAAAATTTGGATGTTAGTAAATATACCTTTTCCTTGTTGTTAGTTTTTTTCTAAATGTTAAAACTGATTCCCTTTATTTTTATAGAAATGTATCATTTTTTAACAAAAACATTTTTGTGAATTACATACATCTTTATCCAAAAAAAAATGCTTTTCTTAAAATGTTTATGGGCAAATATCAGGCTGGTCTCAACCATGAGATTGCTTACAAGGTTATAACAGGATAAGCTGCTATTTTTAATGCCTTTAAACACTTTAAGATATCTAAAATAAAAAAAAGGGTTGTATTTGAATGATATACAGTGCTTAGCTTTCAACAGTAAGCCATGATGAATTTGCAAAATATATTGTAATTTGATTTCATTAGTATCTAGATAGCATTTGTATTATATTTTTATCTTATTAAACATTATAACTTTAATTTGCTTATGTTCCATGAGAATGTTAACAAAGTGACTCATAATTATGGTTGATATAAAAAAAACAACATGTTTTTGAGTCATCATCTCAAAATTTCTATAAGTGCATAAGATTAATTTCATTTTAAGGTAATAGCTAACTTGTTTATATTGTTGTAGAATGTGCATTTTCCTTTATTAATTTTGTTTCTGCGTTTCAATATTTTCATTGCTACTTTAGGAAAAAACCCTACGTAGGCAGCAGAGAATGATAAAAAATAGAGAATCAGCATGTTTATCGAGGAAAAAGAAACGTGAGGTAAGGTGTTGTGGAGTTTAAACAATAGGTGCCTGAATACTTGTGTTTATACAGGAGCATATTCTCTTGTACAGTTTCTTGCATGCATCATTGTGACTATTTTTTCCAAAAGAGTTCTTTAACAGAAATTTTTGACAATTTTCTATTCTTTTCATTTTATTTATTGTTTAGACAACAGGAAATAAAAACATTAAGCGTATTCAGTTTTGATTGAAATTCAGTGTTAATAGTAAAAAACTTTGAACTTTGATTAGATACACTTGACAAATTAAGTCTCATAATTGAGAGATAAATAACTTTTAAACTTAATTAAGCATGTATAAAAAAGTTTTATGACATTCAACTAAGGGGTCTAAGATGGGTGGTGTGTGGTCTGATATTGTTTCAATTATCATTAAGAGTGATATTATTTATATACATAAACTGATGTATATAAAGTTGTTTCATTAAAAGTATAATTTTAATCTGCTTTATTAAAATAACAATTTTATCAAGAAATTTTCATTAAATCTTGGTATATATCTTTTAAGATAAATAATAAAGGGGTTTATTTTAATTAAATTAATCAATCAGATATTTGATAAAAACCATGTTTTTCCTTACCTATGACACACCTTCAGTACCTTCAGACATTGGAAGGAGAAGTGAAAGTTTTAACTCAAGAAAACAGATTGTTAAAAGAAGAGAATTCTCAGTTAAAGCAGCAAGTAGTAAACTTATTTCAGGAGGTAAATGGTTTTATATCATATAGAGAAATTAGTTTGAAACATATTCAAATTCTTTTGACATGTGAATTATCCAGTTATGAAAAATTATGAATTAACAAATAAAAAAATGATTTATATTTTATATTTATTTTTCTTTCAATAGTTAGGAATAATTCACTTCCAAGAAAATATTTTGTATAAATAGTAATTCAGTGATTTGCTGAGAAACGATGCTAGGACTGTTATCTTCGTAGATGTGAGGGGGCTTTTGAAAAAAAAATTCCCTTCTCTTAGCATGGATATTGTGCACTTAACCTTAATTGTTCATTTTACAATCCCTCGATATTGTTCTAGTTACTATCATTTGCCTACCATAGCTGAAAGGTATACACAGACTAGTATATGAAAGTTACATTCAGGTTAAGAAATGTTCATAATATCTAGGCATTTATCTCGTACATCATTTTCTATTACATGTGTATATTTATTAAAAACTAATGTTTTACAGATTGCAAGAATAGTTTCTCGACTGTTGTTTCTGTGTATTTTGAAAATACAACTTCTGCATTAAAACACTTTTGTCTGTGGAAATTTATAAGACATTTTCTAATAGTTCATAAATTTTTGTTACATTCATTAGCATTTATGGAATCCATTATCTTGATATATAAGCTTCATATCTATAGAATATTCTTGAGTACTTACTTTCTGGCTATTGTTTTAATAGTGTGAAAACTCTCTTGAGACTTATCAGTGATATATTTCAATCAGTAAAGCGACCTGGCATGGCCAAGTGGTTAGGGTGTTTGACTCACAACCTGTGAGCCATTAGATCACTACCTGTCACTAAATATTCTCACCCTTTCAACTGTGGGGACATTATAATGTGATGAACAATACCACTATTTGCTAGCAAAGAGTTGCCCAAGTGTTGGTGGTGGGTAATGTTGACTAGCTGCTTTTCCTTTAGTCTATGATTTCAAAATTAGTATAACAGATAGCCCTCATGTAGCTTTGCATAAAAATGAAATAAACAAATAACCTCTCAATAAAAAAAAGTTTTAGAAAGACTCATTTTAGAAGACATCACTTTTTCAAGTCCTGCCATTTCTTTCTCTTTTCCTAGTTTGTTACAGTTCCTTGAATGTGGTTCCTTTTTATTTTAAATGCTTCTAGCAGTACATTGATAAAATTGATGATTTTTGTTGTGTGTATTTTCATATCTTTGGTTACATTTCAATCAATCAAGCATAAAATATCCCATTGTCCCTAGGCTGGGCATGGTCTAATGGTTAGCATATTGAACTGTGAATCTTAGGATCCATAATTTGCTTTCTGTTGCCACAAAATTATACTCCATACTTTGAGGTCATGAGTGTGTTATGTGTGATGGTCAAATCCCACTATTTCACTTAGAGTAGCTCAAGAGTTGGTGGTGATTGTTGTTGACTAGCTGCCTTCCCTTTTATTTTGGCAGTTAAAGATTAGGAATGGCTATTTCAAGTGGCTCCTATGTAGCTTTACACCACTATCTGAAACAAACAAATAACCTAACTAAGTAATATTTTTTTCTAACACATGCCCTTGGATTCTCTATGACTTTGACATGATTATTTCTCCTTTGATGTACATAAATTTTGCTTGATCAACTTATAAGGGTTTTGAGTGATTCTCTAATTATCTCTAGATGCATTTTGAAAAAAAAAGTAATAAAATGTTATATAGGTATGTGTTACTCCAGATGCAAAAGCTTATTTTTAATGGATCATTCAAGAGACACACAAGTTAAAATAATATCCTAATTTCCTCAGTTTCTTGTTTTTTCAACTGTTGTTTGAACATTCAGTCAGTCATTTTTTTTTTCTTTTTCTTATGTTTAACACCAGTGTTGAGGAAAATATAAATGCTTTGTTGTTCTTAAGAATGAAAATTGTTCGTAATATCTGTATGTAGACATTTGTGTTTTACAAAACCGTAATGAATTGTTAATAAAAATGGCATGAACAAAAACATAGCTAAATTAAAAGTGACACTAAATTATTTCTTTTCTTGTTTTGATTTTCACAGAACGCAGATCTAAAGAAAAGACTTTTGCCAAAAGACATAAAGAAAACAACATGTGTGATGGCAGTGATATTTATGATTACACTTAATCTTGCTCCATTTGGGTAAGGAGAACATATAGTCAACTTCATTTAATGTTTACACTATTGTGTTGTAATATATGATTAAGTTATTGAATTTCAGTGCAAGTGGTGTTTCTTTTCACTAAAGCTATTAATTATTTGTCACCCAATGGCTCAACAGTAAAACTGAGTGTTTACAGTATGAAAAATTGTGTTTTGATACATATGGTGTATAAAGCACATAGAACCCATTGTGTAGCTGTGGGCTTTAACAATAAACAAACAATTTATTAATTATAGCTCTAATAATTGTGAAAGATAAAGTTATTCATACTTTTAATAATACTAATTATTTTTGTTTGTTTCCATTTGTTATAGAAAATTTTACTAGTATTGTGAAAAAAATAGAAATAATTGATTTGAAATATTATTAAAGGGGCAATTTCAGTTTGTTCTCAACTTAAGTACCTTATTTTTTCAGTGGCTTATTTATGAGCTCAGAGAATGAATCCAGCTCAGCACCTGCTATTTCCCGTCAAACCACAGGTAGATCATTGTTATGGAAACCTAGCATTAATGAAGATAGCTTAGAAGATGTTGTCTCTGGTTTTCTGGATAAGAAGAATTTATATAATAAAATTCAAACTTCCACCTCAGATTCTGTCCCAGAAACCCACAACATTTCAGCATCCCTTATGTGTCCCATGTATATCAATAAAACAGAATCTTTGAGATTGGAAAATGAGCTGCTTGGTTGGGTTCAAAGATTAGAAGAAAAGAAAAAGAGTAGAAAGAAAGTTAAAAAACCTGAAAGTCCCGAAGAATTGTGGTTAAATAAACCAAGACAAAAAAATCTAAAATTTTCAAAATGGCTAATGGAACATAGACACAATGGAGAAGATAGACAGAGGTAAACTAACCTTTTTAAAGTATATAGATTTTATATTCATTCTGTCAGGGATTTTTTTTAAATTGTTATATTTACCAATGATATTACAGAATATGTTTGAGTTTGCTTCACAGAGTACTACCCAAAATTGTTTCATCAATGTTTTTGCATCTTGCAATGTAAAATAGAAAAATTAAATCTTCTCAAAATCGACACATTACAGTCATGCATTACTTTCAAAAACAGTGTTGTGAATATTTAAATTAAATCTTTATCAACAGTAAATTAATCCATTGAATTTTTATAATTTACTTGACACTGATGCTCTGTATAAATTGCACGATAATTCAATTTCAGTGAAAATTAAAGTTAGATTTCCAGAAGTGTTCTTGGAGCAGAATCCAATTATATGCTCATGCTGTTGACATTCTTTTTTTTTGTTAGTCTTTGTTACTAGTATTGTGCATTTTTTCATATTTATAAACTAAAATGTAAAAGAAAAAAGAAATTGTATTTATTAGAACATGTTGACAACGTCTACTGATTAACCCATTAGCTTAAGGCATTCATTTTTGCATTTAAATTTTACAATCTGAGCTACTTGATAGTCATTTATCAGTTTTATTTTTGCTGCTGGTGTACTTGTGAAATAACATGGAATTAAACTAAGCAAATTATTCTCTCAATAACTGCATAATATACTAAGGAAAATTTATTTCAACTTAATTTATTGAAAATTTTTTCTGTCATATTTGTGTGTATGTGATAGGTACTTTTGAACATTTTTGTTTGGGTATTACTCTGTTAAAATGAAAAGTATGTAAATGTTATATATATTCTTCTTAGTTATGCTTTTTTGCTGAATATTAGGGCAACTGTAAAATTTTAAAAGAAAAAAACCTTTGAAAAACTAATAATGAGAATGTTACACATTGTAAAAATATGGGTAGTTGTTTTATTCAAACATTATAAATGTATTATTTTAAATACAAAGTAAATGTTATGTTTGTGTAATAGATTTGTATTAATTTTACTTCAGCCACTTTCAAAGGCATAATGAGCTGCAAGTTTATCAGAAGCCAAGCAAGTCATACAAAGATTTATTTGAAGCAATTCATCGCCGTGATGATACTTTCTACTTTGTATCTTTCTCAGGCGTAGGTTCCTCATGTTATTTTTGTTCAGTAGTTGTTTATGGAAAATAATTAAGTCTACTAAAATTTAATCATTTAAATATTTTGGTTATCTGGTTTTATAAAAGTATATTTGAATTGTTTTTTTTTTTTAAATTTAACAATGTTTTATTTCAGACAGTTTATCATAATTTACTCAGTAATTTATTTTTGTATCTCCCCAGTTAAAAACAGTGCATATCAAATTCTTTAAACAGTTAAAAATGGTGTTTCAGCTGTTTTGTATGTACCTCATATTGTCCTCTATATTTTCTTTTACTGTTCTTCGCAACATGAAATTTCTGATTTTATATAGCTAGAAACATTCAGTTTTGTTCTTTCTTGAATTAACAACAGTTTTAACCATATTTTTATTTTAGTAGCTTTTCTTTTGACCATTAATAACCATACTGTGGGTATATGTATTTTTTGCTGCTTTATTTATTAATAATCTATTTCACTGTTATGTTACTACATATTGTATTTCTCATATTTTAATTTATTAACATTTTTTAAGCACTTTACAATATTTGACCATAGTGTTCTTGGAGTTTTCTTAGTATTTTTAAAAACAATGTATTTTATTGTTTTTAATTTCTAACAATAACGTATTTATTGTTGTAATTAGTGTGAACTAATTAGTCATTCTTTTTTATTTTTTCCCTCAAATTTTGATTAAGAGGTTTAATTTACACTATCACTCTCATTATAATACTTTCATATAATTTGAACTGCAACATACAGCAGTGTTTCAGCTGGCCCAGAAAAAGTTTTAGCTGTTTAACTAATTGTCATACATTTTTTGTTGTTTATGTCAAAAGTTGTAAGGTCTAATATGCTAAATTAGACAGTTTAGTAGAGCCACTACCTAACATCATGCCGTACTAAGTTTTCTTGTAATAACACTGTGAACTCAGTTTGACATAGACTTCATATGATTTCAGAAGATGTCTTACTCAGTTGAAGCTAATTGATCCAAGAGTATTCTTGTATTTGGTTCACAGATATAGGCCAGAGAATTATGGCTGCAAATGTGATGTTAAACCTATTCTAAACATGCTATATCAAATTTGAATTTGATGATTGTGTTAGCCAAGGAAGATGACTAAAGTCACAGGCACATTATTTGAACCATTTTTAGACTATATGAATGCTGTAGATTGTTGTATTATTGAATTGGAAAACACAATTGGTAAAAACGTTTATGCAGCTTTTAATGTTAAACACCCTTCTGAAGGACACAAATGTCCAATTTCTGCTAAAGAACATTATCCACACCATTATACCATCTCCAAAAGCTTGCACAATAATGTGCCTTATCAAATCCCATGCACTCAATTATTCATTGTCCACAATTTGCACCATGTGCCATTCACATTTAAACTAAACTATTTCTGGACTGATCATTGATTTCATGAAATATGGTTACAGATAGTTGAATTGTGAATTCTGTTGAAGGAATTGATCAGCTAAGCCACAGTTTGATGTTTGTTGCATTTTACAAGTTTGTTCAGTTGTTTTTTCCCTCAGTTAGACACCAACAGTTGTGGCTATAGAGTTTGTTAGCAACAGGTTTTATTCCCTTTGGATTTTCACAAATGAAAGACTATAGTAATGGGTGTCTTTGAACAATCAGTTGAAGAAACTGTCTTTGACAGTTACCTGCTACTAGCTACTAGATTTTCATCTACAATCTTACCTCTTTGAAAGCAAGAGATATCCTTGCTCATACAGCACCATCTTGTGGACTAATAATGATATGATTAAATCTCTGCATGTATAGAACTTAAGCAGTCATCTGACATATCATATCTGGTCAATGTGTGTTGTGCCCTGATGGTTGAGCAGTAAGCTTAAGGATTTAAAACACTAGATGCATATATACACCTGGCTTAAGCTGGTTCAGTAAAACAAACACACTTTTGTTGCTCACTTCTGACATCATTTTATTATAATTATTCACAGAAGATAAAGACATAGTTAATATATTTGAATTATCCACAGAAATGTGGACTTGTCCATTATCTTGACTTCAAACTTGAACTCAACTTAATAATATTACAACAGCAGAGGCTGCTATTTGTGTACTTTAGAGAATGGGAATCTTGAAGGTATGTATACTGAACACCCAAGGTGGGGGAACTGTATATCACAAATACTAGTTGCTATTGATGTGCATCTTTGCATACTACATCAATGAATCTTGCTGATGCATTCTTTTCATCATAGTTACAAGCTAAAATTAATTATAGACCTAGTTATATATTTTTGTATAGATTAATTTTTATATTTTAATCTACAGTTGTCTGGGAAAAGACTAAGTAGAATTTAGCTTATGGGGGCAAAAACTGAGAGATGCATTGTCTTTAACTTCACAGGATAATTTTTAAAGGCTTTTTTTCAGCGAAAAAAGTCCGTCCTATATGCCGTAAAACATGGTAACTATTTTTTGTTAAGACTAAGCTGTAGGGAATTTTAGCCCTGGGATGTATAAAAATATGTAAATTCTTAACTTTCCTTGATTATTAAAGGAACATTCCAGATTTGAAGTTTGTTGTATAGTACACTACTAAAATGTAGACTAGTATGTTTAATAGCTGATTTTTCAGATATTCTGTTTTTCCATGTAGAGAATTATAGAAATTACAAAATTGAGGAAAAAACAAGACAATTGTATGTTTCACAAATACACTATTTATTCACGACCCTGGAGTTTCACCTAGTACCAATATTTTCAAGTATCAATTATAGAAATATTATACTTCTATAACTAGCAACAAATTTTTAATGCTTTGTTTATGAGTTTAATGTCATGTTACTAAACTATTAAACTAGCTTGCTTAATACCAAAGTATTTAACTCTTTCTTTTTCTGTGATTTTGATGAACATAATTGACATGTATTTTATTTATTCTTTGTCCCAACTGAAAACAGGATCACCTGCTATTACCAGCTACTGCCCATAACCGTACCTTACGTCCAAAAATGTCTCTTGTGATGCCAGCCATGACCTTTAATGGTAAGAATCTTCAAGATCTGAATGTAACAAGGTTTTATGACTATTGAAAGTTGTTTTTGTTACCTTGGAGATGGAAACCAGTCATGGTCAAGTGGTTAGCTAAATCTGCAGGTCCATCATTTTTGTTCTGTTACTGTAAAAAAAAAAAGCTATGCTATGGTACTTACCTCCTTTCACAAAATTAGCTATTCTCGTTCAGTGCTGCCCTCTATATGCGAACTTTTTCTTTACGCGTGGCACAAGCCTTTTGCCCCCCCCTTCCCCACTTTTGGAGTTGCAAGATTACATTATGTTTCTCATGCAACTCATCATGCGTCACCTCCTCACCAATAGGAGTATGACATGCTCATGTGACTCCCTCTACAAAACCATCACTTCTCGTTTGGCAGCGCTTGTGTTCTGATGTGCTGTTTTGTTTAATGCTTCATGTTCGATTTTGTTTCCTCACGAGGTGGTTATTTTTTAAATTAATTTACTTTCATTCAGCCTGTCTCTTGTATTAGTATTTATCAGTTAATTTTAGTCACCTTATTTTCTACACTTGAATTTGGTGAACTTTTCTGTGTAATAAATTCCAAAGTTAACATTACTTCTTAGGGGATTACATCAGCGACTCGCATTTTTTCTTAGGCCTCAGGTGTGGGTGACCTGGATTTATCTGCTTTTATACACTGGGAGATCGAACATTATATGGGAAAACCTTTGTTCCCAGACATTATCCAGGTTGATCCTGTGCAGGCTGATGAGGACTTCAATCGTCTTTTTCCACCTCCAGATTTTGCCATTCCTTCCCATTCCCAACTTGATGAATCTACTAGGCCTAATGCAGTCTTTATGGATTTTGTATCTTAGGTTTGTGATGTTTTATCCCTTTCCTCTATTTCATATGCACCTTGACCTTCCTTATTGCATGAACAATCTTCCCAACCCTTTTTGGTTTTTCCTCCCTCACCTGATATTCGGGTTCATGCTGATTACTTATCCTTGCTATCAAGCGAGGGGATTAGCATGCCATCCCTCTGTGGACTTTAAATCAGTTTGTACTTTCCCACCATCGTACTGACTATCCATTTAAACCAGCAATTGTTAGGTTCCTTATTGCCTACTTGGGGGAGTTTCTTTGTTGTTGGGACCTTATAGGTTGTGATGCTGTATTGTCTCGGGTCTGTTTACCCTCGACATATCTTATGGATTTACATATGGCCCCATTTCTGAGGCATTACGTTTCTGATATGGTCCCAGAAATTATATAGCATCGGGTGACATTGGTCCAACAACAGTCCATTCTTAAGAATATCGTAGCCCATTTGTTTCAGTCAGAGCCTCATATGCCTCCAACTACCATTTCCCTTCCTTCCCCTTCCCAACCTTTACCTGTCCATTCTACTCGGGGTACATCTTCTTGCTGGTTTCCTCGACGATGCACTCCCATCAACACCAGTACCGGTGACTACCCAGTGTGTTCAGGTCTGGTGGGGGCTCAGCTTTTGGAGTTTCGTCATCGCTGGCATTCCTTCATCAATGATCAGTGGGTGCTTCAGGTTCTGTCAGAAGGATTAGTTGTCCAGTTTCTTTCCCCACATCTCGTCTCTCCTTACCCTGTTTCCTTCCCTCCTCCTCAAGATCCTGTGACCAGCCAGTGTCTGTTAGAGGAAGTTTAGGAACTACTCTTGCAGCGAGCCACCGAACCTGTTCCCCATCCTTCCCAAGGTTTTTATTCCCGCCTTTTCATTGTCCCCAAGAAAACCAGTGATTGGCAGTTGGTAATCAGCATATCTCGTTTGAACCACTTCGTTTCACTATCCCATTTCACCATGGAGTCTTTTCTCACCCTGAGATGGACATTTTCTCCAGGGTTGTGGATGACCAAAATGGATGTCTCGAATGCTTATCTACATATACTGATATCACCTCATTCTCATCCTTATTTTTGGTTTGTCCAACTCAGGGTGGCTTATCAATTTCGGGCCCTCCCCTTTGGACTTACGTATTTGGCTGAGTAGTCTGAACTTTTGCTCAACATCTCCATGCTCTGGGGCTGCAATTTAATTATTATATAAACGATTGGTTTCTTCTGGTTCATTCCGAACAGGAATTGGCCAATCATACTTGGCAGCTCTTTTCTGTGGTGGCTCGGATGAGCTGGTTGATCAAACTGGAGAAGCCCTTCCTCAGACCCACTCAATACTTGTCTATGTAGGGGTCTTTTTCAACACTCATATCAGTCAGGCCCAGCCTTGTCCTTTATGACTTTGTTCAATGGAACTGTTGGTTCACTATGCCCTCTTAGCTCAATCACTTATTGCTCACAAGGTTTTATCACTTTTGGGGATGTGGTCATCAATAACATCACTGGTTCTCTTCAGTCATGCCCATATGAGATCCCTTCAGTGGGCGCTTTATGATTGATGGAACCTTAATGTGGATCCTCTTTCCACACCCATTACCCTTCCTTTTTCCCTGCAAGACAATCTGCTTGGTGGTTGGACAAAGACCTTATTTTGGCGGGTGTGCCGCTTCCTCCCAGATCTACATCTTTTCATGGATACTTCCCTTCAGGGATGGGGGAATGAGTCAATCACCAAAAAGCTTTGGGCCGTTTATCTGAGGACATAAGTACTTTGCATATAAATGTTCTCGAACTTCTAGCCATACATTGGGCATTGCATCACTTCCTTCTTCTTGCCCAACATTGTCTAGTGATGGTTCATTCAGACAATTCTACAGTGGTGGCACATATCAATCATCAAGGGGTGCCTGGTTCAGAAATCTGTGTTTTCAGACGTTGGATCTCTTATCCTGTGCCCATGCACATCACATTCATCTTATTGCATGTCATGCGCCGGGTGCTTTCAATCTGGTTTGGATCGTCTGTTACGCCCTGACCGGATATATCTCAAAAAGTGGTCATTAGATCCTCTCGTTTTCATAGTTCTTTGCCATCAGTGGGGGTTCTTCCCACATTGGATGCCTTTGCTACAGGACTCAACAACAAGTTACCTCTCTTTTGGTCACCTGTACCTCATCCCCAGGCTCTGGCAGTTGATGCCTTCAGCCAGGATTGGTCACAAAAGTATCTTTATTACTTCATCGGGTGATTTCTCTCATCCACACCACTCCTTGTCAGGTTCTCCTGATTGTTCCTTATTGGCCAGCTCAGCCACTGTCTCCCTACCCTCTTTGTCAACCTTGGTCACATGTCCTTCATTCCACTCTTCACATTCTACATCTCCATGCCTGGCTTTTGTCCAGTCCTTGGTGAGAAGATCCGGTTTCACATGTTGAGTCGCATCCTTGTTAGCTGGTTCTATCCATACATCTTCCATCGAAGTGTACCAACGCAAGTGAAAATGAAAGTATTCTGTTGTTGATTTACAAGTAGGGGGTTTCCTGCTGACCAGCCTACTGTGGCTTTTCTTGTGGAATTTTACACTTGACTCTTTGACCGTGGGTCTTCGGTCTCCTCACTTTTGGGATATTGGGCGGCCTTATCCCATACCTTCGATACCATACAGTTTTTACTTCCCCTTTCCTTACCATGCTCCTGCATTCCTTCCAGATATGTTGCCCTCCCAGGTGACCTGCCCTTCCAGATTGGAATGTTAACCCTATCTCTACGGGTCTTCCTATGGTCATGGGTCAAAGACCATTTCATTGTGTTTGTAGACCCACATTTAAAATTTTATTGAACTACTATTTAAGGAATATATGTCAATAAGTTTGGTATCAAATTCTAAATTATAATTCAAATCTTATTATGATCCATTAGTTAATTTCTTAATTTGAAAGTAAATATTAAAAAAAAAACCTAAATATTGTTTTTGTATGTCACATGGTATGTGAATGCAGCATTGGTTCAAATTAGATGTTTGTGATGTCCAAATACAAAGTCTATAGTTTCTTACGAATTAAGAACTCAAATTACTGATATTAACAAACTAGAATATAAAATAAGAATCACTTATTTTTCTATTTGCTAAGATAGTGGTCAAGCTGAATCAAACAGTGCCCTTCCAAAAATTATATGATATGATATATAAAGCAATAATAAAACTATTCCCAATTATCTATTAATGATTTTGAAACTGTGTAATTCTCATTTGGGTACAATTGAAAAGATCTTCATTATCTTTTTTTTTTTAAATAGCGTGAATAGCTGTAAACATCTAGTGTGGCATCAGTGAAGTAATGAATTAGATAAACCTAAACAAAAAAATCTATATAATCTGAAGATGGATTGATATTTTGTTGTTATGTATAAGATAATATTTTAAGTAAATTTCTGGGCTGTATGTGATCTAGTGGTTAGCTTGCTGAACTGTGATCTGAGGGTCCCTAGTTTACATCCTGTTGCCACAAAAATGTGCTCCACACAATTCAGTTAAAGTAGATCAAGAGTTTGCAGTTCGTATTGTTGAATAGCAAAGGGTGTTGATTCTGGAGTGGCAAGAGGGTAGTTACCCCATCAGTATTTTTTTCATATATCAAGTTTAATTTTTGTGTATGAATTTGTTAATTTTCAAATGTAAGGTTAAGTCATATATTGTACATTTCACTCACTCTCTCTCTAATTGACAATACTGTCAAAGTTCAAAGTCCAGTGTAGAATCTATTGTAGAAATTTCACACACTTATTAAGAAATAATTATGTGTGTGTGTTAGTGCTTTTCTACATATGTAGTGATAAATACAATACATATTTATGAATAATTGTTTCTTTATCATCACAACATATTTCTTGGATCATGCCTCTGTGACTAGCTGTCTTTCAGCTCAAAATTAAGGATAGGCAGCAAAGATAGCACTTGTGTAAATTTCCCAACCTTATATTAAAATATCTATTGTAATTATTATTATCCAAGAAATTACTTTCAGTTTTTATTAGTTTCATATGCTGTTAAAATTTTTGCAAAATATGGGTAATTATTTTCTTAGAAGTGTAATGAACAATTTTTTTTTCTATCCTTTTATATTAGAACTTGGATTAATCACATTGACTTACTTGGTAGTATATGTATCTAACTATTGACAGTGTAGACTTTCATTTCAACTTATTTTTACATATCTTTCCAATATTTAGAAACCATGGAGCATCCTAAAGACCATGTGACCATGATGCAAATTGATTGTCAGGTAATGAACACTAAATTAGTGTACATAAAAGAATCGGCCATCCCAGCACACATGTGGCAAAAAGAGAACTATACCAGTTTTGAATCATCCCTTTCTCAACCTTCTAGTAGAGGTAATAATATTGAACAGAGATACAGAGCTCATAAAGGCATCAGAATAAAACAAGCTGATAATTTTAAATCAAGAAACAGGAGACCATAATGTGGAAGCTTTCAAAAAGAAAAGTTTCAAGTAAACAGCTAATTGGCCAGTGGAAAAAACAAACAAACAAAACTACCAAATAACAACAGTGCTGTAGTCAGAAAATATGCTAGTTCATTCTTATTTTCTTAACTGTTCAATATCTTTGTTTTGATGGATTGTCAGTTCAGGGTGTAAATTTGTAAACTAGGGTTTTTTTTGTTTGTTATCTTTAATTTGCTTCATCACTTTTGCTCTTTACTGTAAAAAAATATGCCATGTTTTGAGAAAATCATAATTTAGAATGCAACTCTGACATTAAAAAAAAATCAATGTACAGTAACAAGATACTTCAGTTTTCTGACACTTCCTTACAATCTGAATAAAAATTATCTTGCATGTTCTGTATGCTATGAACTACAGGTTTCTGACACCTTTGTGAAAAAAACAACAACATTATTTCAATAAGTTGTATTTACAAAGTTGAAGTTTACTAATGTTTTTTAACATTCAATCTGCAATTCAGGGATATATGTTTCGTGGGCTGGTTTTCAAACAAAGCTTTCCAGTATTTTCTTTTTTTATATTCTGAATAGAGATATGAAATCATTGCAACATCTGGAATCTGAATTGCCTACCAGCATGCCTGAATTCACAATAGTTTCCAGGCTATGAAGGGAGTAAAACCCATATCCCATACAAAACACAGTAGTGGCCAACTGTGTTGCACAACACAAGATCTGGTTCCTCAACTATATAAAGCCAGTATCTCTGTAATTTTTGTGAGTTCCTTTAACAGGGATGACTAAGGAATGCTCAAGAGCTAAGAGCAGTACCTGTTTGAAATGAACACTTCTACTAATAATGGCTGGAGACGCTTGAATGGGTAATGAAGAAAAACTTATATTAAAGTTTTTCTTCATTACCCATTCAAGCTGTCTCCAGCCATTATTAGTCTGAAAGTGGGTTCCTCGTCACCGAATTTGAACACTTCTACTGTTTTAAACAAGAGGAACACAGACTGGCCAATCCTTTAAAATCCACATCTTCTTGCCCAAACACTGTTGAGAGTTGAGTTGTTTTGGTATTATAGCATTTTTTTTAGGTTAACAGAATTGAGCTATTTATCATAGTAAATATTTTTGGTTTTAACTTGAATACCAGAAACTGTGACACTCAATTTCCCAAATTTGGTCTCATTAAGTTGCAGACTGGGTGTTAAATCATTATAAAATCAAGCAAAGATCAAGTTTTTTCTTTGAGCTATCTGTTGGCTCATTAAAGAGTAGATTAAACACAGATAAGATAGAAATGTAGATGATTCTCAATAACTGAAAGCTTCTTTATAAATTCCATTACGTCAGGTATCCTCTAATTGTTAATTTTACGATATACACACGCACAAAACATGAAACATTATTACACTGCTTATTAAGACATCCGTTTATATTGAGATTTATCACCCATTGATGCTTAAGATTAGAAGTTATTACCTTAGAAAAGATAGTTTAGAAGTTTTATCAGTTATCACCAAATGTCATTTAAAAAGAGGTAAAGAAATAAACAGTAACCGTGTTGGTAAGTTTAATGTACGTAATGTAATTGTTTGTGTCAACACAAAGATTTTTTTTTTATAATATCCTTTTGAACAATTTTCATTGATGTAGTTTTTGTGCATAGAGTTACAATTTGTCAGTAAGGTGTATACAGTAATTTCTAATTTATGTGTACAAATATAACAGTAATTTGTTTAATATAACTACTGAACATTTAATCACTATTTATTGTAAAAAGAAAAGAAAATTTAAAATATTTTCAAACTTATTTTACACTGACAGAAGAAAAAATATCCTCTATAGATAGGTAAACGAAATATATAAAACAAAAGGTCAATATCCAGAATTATTTATAATCTCAAAATGTTGCTATATAGGTTTCAGTTTTTCTATTGTTGTAACTCTCTCTCTCTCTCTGTATTTTTCAAAACAATCTCGGTTTATTGTAGGTGTGATTCTTCTCTGTATTGCATATGAAATGTTTGTTAACTTATAGCTAGATAGAATATTATTGAAACTGTGAATCAGTTGAACTTACAGATTCTGTTCCTGCCGGTGGTATGGCAAAAAGTTTTAGCTAAAGGTTAAGTGGAACATTATTATGGAAAATGTATGAATCTAGCTCCTCCACGATCACTCTTCATGTAAAACTTCAACATTTTTCTTCTAATCTTACTTTTTTTTTGTTTACTTAGAAATGAATTGAGTGATTTATAATTATTTTGTTTGATTTCTGCATTTTAAAAATTCAGACAAATCTTTAATTACTTTAAAGAAATTTAAATCATCATAAATATTCATACTGAAGCTATCTTTTAGTTGAACTTCGTATATATAGTTTATGACATCAGGAATACTTAGCATGATGTACTAGAATGTTAGCCCCCTTAAAATATTTTCAAATTTAGTTAAAGAGAAATCACTCAACTCTCACGTGTATACATTTTTTCTGAATGTGACATATGTTGTTAAGAGGACACGTTACCTAACATTGCTTTAAATTGGATATCGGATATAAATTGGATTTTTTTCTTTGTTTTTCAGTGGTTTCTTGGATTCATGATTAAAAATTCACTTCTAAAGTACTCATTTCATAAGGTTTGACTTTTCATAATGTTGATAAATGAGAGTTTTAACATGCATCAGTAATTATCATATATTTTTTATTGGTTCACTAGATTTAAGAGGAAGAGAGAAAAGTTTGTCTAATTTTGAAAATTTTACAAATTTATAATAGTATTGTTGGATTATGTCCTTATATGTTTGTTGAAAAGAGTTATTTGATAAAATTTTTCATTTGTTTTAACCTTTAAGAGCAAAAAAATATATATGCAACAATATTTTTTCCTCATAACACAAGCTGCATTTCTTTTCTTTGCATTTTTTGTCCTGTTTTATATTTTCATGTCATGCATAGTAGTATAACACTAGAACTGCAGTACTTAATTTCACAGCATTTATTAGATGTGTCGCAGCTTCAGCTAACTCGTACGTTTTTTTCACTGGTGCTTCTCAAGTGTGTAACTGAGAAAATTATACCAAAATAGATATGGTTAGTTGTTATTTATGGCTCAGACATTTTTATTTAGCAGTGTTAGTAATATAAAAAGCTGTGTGTTGTGAAGTTATATTACAAAATCACGGGAGAAAATGAAACGAGGGATTTAGATTAAGTACTATACTAACAACAGATGAATGTAAAAATTACATGTTCAGAAGGGATACATTTGCATTTTTGATCTTGAGTTAATGAGGTACAGATCACAAAGAATTATAATTGTACTCAAAATGTTTGATAATCAATTAAATAAAACACCTGTGAGTTTCTATATGATTCATTGAGTAGTTTGCACATTTTTTCTAAGAAAACAAAATTTATTCCCAAATCTTTGATACTATTTTTTGTTCTTGGTGATATTGAATATAAAGTAATATTCATGTAAATAAACAAAATATTTGTATCATTAGTTAAAGATGAAAATTCTATCGTAACTATAGTGTATATGGTTTTCGTTTTGTATTAACAATTTACACGTGACGTGTTTTTTATGCAGCACCAATATTGCATTAATTACTCATAGTAACAGTATACATAATGGAAAAATCCTGTTTTATTAATGGGTTATTTGTCATTATCTTTAAGTCATATCAAAATTTTAATTTTGTTATTGATATCTGTTCTGTGAAAGTCATTTATATATATATAGTAATGTTTGTGAAATGTGTGTTTTCTATATCAGTAAAGAAAGTTTGTTAATTTCCTTTTTTTGTGCGTGTGTTGGCTGTATCCATTTTTTTTTTGTATTAGAAACTAAATTTTAGCAGGCTTTTGTCATACAAGTGTTATATATCATTTATTTTTGTGTTGTTTGAAGTTTGTGGTTAGGGGTGAAAAATTGAAAGGGGTAAACATTACTATATTAATCAATCTCTAACATATAATGGAATGATAATAATAGGATAATATAAAAAACATTCAGTATTTTCAAATCTTTTTGGCCAACTTTACAAGTTTCTTATAAAATGTTAATTACATTTTCCTCCCGATGGCTCAGCGGTAAGTCTGAGGGCTCATAACACTAAAAATTGGGTTTTATTACCTGCAGTGGGTAGAGCACAGATAGCCAATTGCGTAGCTTTTTTCATAAAAACATAACACAATTTCCTTGAATCAATGTAACACATTTTATAATTATTTTTTTTATATTTGAAGATGTACCTGATGGTGGATTGCTCACCATTAGCTCATGTATCATTCAACAAGTAGTCTCTGGCTCATCACAACATGATTAGTTTGTTAATCTGACTAATTAGCCAAGTAATTGTTCTCTTGTTTTTTGTTTTTTTTTTAAATCTTGATATTTCATTTATACAAAAAGAAGGGCAAGCTGATGAGTTGACCATCAAATCAAAGTGAGTTTTCCTTACCTAGAAACTAAAGTAAGCTTGATACTATGGGCAGTCTGTTGAAATGTGAAATTCTAGTCTTCTGTGATTGTGAATCTAAAGTTTTGGGACATTTGTGAGTGTGTGGCATCATTTAACACCTATTCATACCACTTACTCACTTTGTCTGTTACTGGCAAACATGTAATGATTTAATAAGTTTTTAGATTTATGTAATATTGAAACTGTACACTTGATAGTGTATCCAATTATATTTGTATGTAAACCATTGTTTAATCATTTTAATAAATGTTGAGAAACATATCTAGTTGTGGTTGTGCATGAAACAAGAATTAGATAAGAACGTTAACTTACGAGAGTTTTACCAACCGTGAGTCATTTTTAGTTGAGAAACAATTGGTAAAGAGTTCAGTACGACTAGATTTTGATTGTTATAGCTATATATTTGTTTAGTTTATGGACCAAAGTAAAATTTGTTAGACCAAGCATTGTTGGACAGTGGTGTTTCAGAATAAAACATAAGGTTAATTGTTTCTTTCAATTACAATAAACCACTTTTGGCATTTGAAAAACCCATTAGCAGCCAATACAGTTAAGGCACCAAAACCAACTAACCTTGAGTTAATTACACAGGCCTGTGAATTTCAACTTCATCAAAGTTATTTTGGTTTTAATAATGGATTTTCCATAATTCAGCTACGCAGAGTTCAAAAATAATATTCATTTTTTTCTATCACGTAATAATTTTTTACAAATCGAGAAGAAGAAAAACTCTTACTTAGAACAAATTATTATTTTGTATACCACAATGAACATTTCTTATTATTATCTTTGTTATGTTTGGGTTCTAGAATGTTCGATAAGACTCTCACATTGCAACTGGTCTAAAGAAATCTATAGCTAGTGGTTTTCAACATTTTAAGCATAACAGAATGTGACTCAATTTCAATGAAAATGATTCACTTGTGTAAAAGTACATATGAAAT